AGAATATATAGGAAAGGAATTATGGAGAATCCCAAGAATTGTAAATATTTACCTGCGTGTATGTGTGTGTGTGTGTCCCTGGGCCCTCTAAAATTCAGTCGGGCATGTCCCTGCACAGGAGGGATGTTCAAGAGTGGTCGACAAATAGTCCGAGGACAATTGTCCGACTATTTTCTGACTATGTTGAACCTTCTGTTTTGACTCTTTGCAGGGCCCACTCGTAGGGCCCAAACGGGAGCCCCTGGGGCCCGAACAATGCATCTCTTTTCCCCCTCCCTCCGTCGCCCTCCCGTTAAGCGACGCCCCAGCGGGGAGCCCAGCACGCGACCAGGAGGACGTCTACAGCTTTAGACGCAGGAGTGGACAGCCGCCACGAGGAGGCCCTGGCGTCGCCAGTTTCTTTCTGCGCGGAAAGACGGGGTCTTGGGTTCAAGTCGTGATGTTGCATACGGTGCTTCAAGCTCGTCGCGACGTCGGATCTCAGGGCTTGGCCCAGGAATAAACAAACACATGGATCCGGATGCCGAGAAGGGACGACGAAGAACGCTTCTGCATCTAGGTTCTGGCATGTTTCCCTGCATGGCATGTCGCCCCCCCCCCCCCTCCTCCGCCACCTCTTCGAGCAAGGCTGGGCCAGAAAGGCGCACGCGTGGATCCGGACTTGCGCGAAGTCCAGACTACCCTCTCGGGTCTGAACGCACGCCTGGCAGGGCCGTCGCTTACAGTCAGGGCGCTGGAAAAAGGAACCCTTTTCGCTGGGGACGGGCTCGGTGTTTCTTGATTGTTGTGCAGTTTGCCTTAGGTTTCCCTGAGGTTTGCCATGGGAAATCGAAGTTCAACGTTTGGAAAAATGGGCCTCGTTCCTTATTTAGGGTTCCTTGTGTCAGCGCCCCGACTGTATCCTCGGGGGTCTCGTGCCGCCGCGGGTCCAGGCAGCAGTCTCTTCGACGCTCCTCCATCAATGGACCACGGCGCGGCGGATTCCAGGGCCACGCGCGCTGCCTTCTTCTGCTGCGGCGACGGCTCCGAGAACAGCACGGAGCACCACTGCCGTTGCGAGTTTTTGGGGAGCGTTCCAACGCAGGTTGCCCCAGGGCTGGACCTAAACGGTGTTTGTAGTGATTTCGTGGGCCGTTGTCGTTTCGATTTCGTTTTGCGGCAAAAGCAGATTCGAAACAAAAGCGAGGGAAAACGAACACAAAACGAAAACGAAAAACACCGTTTAGGTGCAGCCCTGAGTTGCCCCTCGACCTGCTCGAAGGGGGCGCTGCCCGTGTCAGGCCCTGCCATCTACGCGGCGTACACGTGCACCAACACGATGAGACATCGAGGACAGTACGATTTCGATGTCGCGGTCGACGCAATCACCCAGGCAGAGCGGGAGGGCGCCAGCGGACACACAGGGCGGCTTTGCACACGTTGCGCTCACGGTGGGCAGCCTGTTGCGTCCAGAACCCAGAAAGCGGCGAAGTCAGGAGCGCGTGAAAAGCGTTTGGGAGACGCGAGCAAGGACGTTGACATGGATGTTTGGGGATTTTGCAAGATCGAGACAGGAACTCCGCAGGGGGCCAGGAAGAGCATGGAGAAAACTACGGGGAGGCTTGAAAACGCTTCCCACGCTGCAGCTTCAAGCAGCCTGCCGCGGCGGTGCTTGACCGGCGCCGGAACAAGCTCCTGGGCTACCCTGTGCTGCCGATCCGAGAACAGGAGACCAGGAGACCAACGGAGCTGGAACGCCTCTTGGGGACGCTTGAAAGGGCGCTTGAAAGGATGCCGGGCGAGCTTGCGAGCTTCAGAGCGGGAGCTTCGCAGGAGCCACCCAAGCGTTGCGAAGGAGGCTCGCGAATGCTTCCGGCACGCTTAGTGGGAACGAGTGGGAAAACGTTTCCGGAAAACGATGCGATTGCAAGCAAGGTGCTGCAGGGATGACTGAGCGGCGGCAGTGGAGAGGAAACCAACCTGGCCCTGCCTGCCTAAAGCTCGGAGGGTGCCACGGGTGGCTCAGGTCCAAGACGCCCCCAGCCTGTCGCGTCATTTTGAAGCCCCTCGGGGTTGGAGCCGGCAGGGGGTCTGAGGTGGCCCAACATTTGCTCCGACCAGCAAACGGGGGGTGGGTGGGGGCAGGTCCCAGGTTGTGGGTTCGAAAAAATGGTTTTTCTTCGTCGGTCTCTGGGGGTCGTTTTCGGGCCCCGGGACTGTCAAGACAGATCCGGGGTGAAAACTTGCACCAGATGGACCCCAAGAGGGGTCCGGGGTTATGATATTCCAACTTGTTTTACCTTTGAACACCAGAGCGAATTTCGAACGCCACGAAAATACCGAAAGTGGGGGGTCTTCACGGACCGAAGCTGGGTGGTCTTCACGTGTCGGGCCCTGGGAGGCGATACTCGTTCGACACTTCGCTAGCGTGCCTGGCAGGCACTGTTTCGATACTTTCTCGGGTGCTCGAAATTATTCTGGGATGCGGTCCTTAGGTACGATGGGAACAACATATGTCTGGGGATCGATTTTGACAGGATTTGCCTTTATTCGCCCCGGCTTGGCCGATCTGGGAAAAGCCCGGGCCCACAGGGCCAGGGCCACCTCTGGCACCACCCGGTCTGCCCCCTGTCTCCAACCCTTGCTTCCCCTCTGAGAGCTCAGAACAAAAATCTCAGGGGGAAAAATAGGCAGAGGCACCAATAAACGTCGAGTCCCACGAGGGGAGACGAAGGCCATGACAAGATCGAGAAAGTACATGAGATTCTGGCACTTGTGCCTATCTGCTTGTGTCTCCCTGGGCGCCTTGGCCAAGAAGAAGAACGTTCAATCATAATAATAATAATCATAATAATAATCATAATAATAATCATAATAATAATAATGATATAATAATAATAATAATAATAATAATAATAATAATAATAATAATAATAATAATAATAATAATAATAATAATAACAATAATAATAAGAAGAATACGAACAATAACAATAACAATACATGTAAGAGAAGAAGAAGAGGAATCAAAGGACTAAGAAGAAGAAGATAAGTAATAGTAAGAAGAATAACAAGAAGAGGAAGAATACTAAGAATAACAATATTGAAGAAGACGAGGAAGAGGAAGAAGAAGCAGGAATGGCACGAGCAGAGACTTTCGACGGTCCGCGCGGATCTCTTGCCTCGGCGCTGGACGCCCCCCCCCGTCCCTGGCGCGCCGGGGGCGGGTCCCGAGGCGCCGCCCGGGGCGGACCCCGCGCCGACCCAGGGAAGCCCGCGCGGAGTTCCGACAGCTCGTGCTCATGCAGCTTTTCGTTATTTGACTCATATGTATCTCTCTCCCTCTCTCCCTCCCTCTCTCTCTATTCAATATTAATGTGCGTAAATATATATATATATATATATAATATATATATATATATATCTATATATACACACACATACACAATTATGTATGTATCATATCGTGTGAGTATATATCTGTACACATATGCCTAGCTCAGCCCGACCCTGCGCACCTCCTCGCGGGGGACGGCGAGCGAAGAAGGCGCAAGCACGGGAGCGGCGGGGGGTGGGGGAGCCCCGGGGGGGGGGGGGGAAGGGCGGGCGGGGGCGTCACGGGCCCAGACCTCCGCCAGCGGGCTCTTTGCGCCCAGCGTGGCTCCCCGAGGTCCAGACGTCAGAGGGCCGCCACGACGGTGCGACGCTTGTCGCGCTTCGCGCTCCGCGGCCTGGGCGATTCCAGAGCGAGGCGCGAGTCCCTCGTCCTGTTCTGGGGGGTGCGGCGCGAGAGCGCGATGAGATGATCGGAGACAGGTGCCCCACTTGGGTGTTTCTTGTCTCTCTGAGCCGGTCCACGTTGATCGCCCTCATGCGTGCTTCTTCCCTCTGCCGACGGTTTGACCAGGCCATTCCAGGAGCGGCCTTTGCGATTCCAGAGCGTGGCGCGAGTCCCTCATCCTGTTCTGGGGGGGGGGTGGGGGGGCGGCGCAAAAGCGCGAAGATGGTTGCCCTAGTAGGCCAGTTCTGTGGGACTGGCTTTGCGTTCTATGAGTCCGCCTCTGTGGGCGGTCCCCAGGGGGGCCAGCAAATGAAGGCACCCAGAGCGCCGAAAAGATTGCAGAGAGCATCCCTCCGTGGTTTCTCCCCGGAGCGCGCCGATGTCTCGGAGGAGCACCAGGTCATGATGTGGCAACACCAGGTCATACCCACGGCCCAGGCACGGTTCGAAGAAGAAAAAACGGCACTGTTGGCGCTCCGCGCAGATTTGTTGGATCCGCGCGGGGCCTCCCGGCGGCGCCGGAGGCCGCCCCTGGCGCGCCCTGGGCGCCAGGGAGGGGGGCCCAGCGCAGATCCAAGAAATCCGCGCGGAGCGCCAAAAGGTTAGGTGTTTGCAGTTGTTTCTTCTGCTCACGGTGGCGGGAGAGGGGCCAGGCAATCAGATCGCACGCTTTCGCACCCCTTACAAGTAGGGGTAGGCGGGTAGATGCATACATGGCGGAAGATACGTCGGCATGTATGTCGGCTACTTGGTCGCGCGCGGGTGCGCGAAGGCAGCACCGCTTTGCGCTTCGCGGTCTGGGCCACATAGCCGCCCATCCCCAGTCTCGGAGGAGCACGAGGTCATGATCCAGGACTCCCCAATACACCCCACGGGCTGCAGAAGCGAGGGCCGCTGTAGATACTCCGGGCTCCTGAGACGTGTCGTGAGCCACTCGCATCACGACATCCTTCTCGCCCTAATGCCGGAGGTGGGAGGGGAGGGAAGCGGGGCATGGCGACGGCGACGACGACGGCATGACGACGGCATGACGACGGCATGACGACGACGACGACGACGACGACGACGACGACGACGACGACGACGACGACGACGACGACGACGACGACGACGACGACGACGACGACGACGACGAGCGGGCCGTGAGAGCGGGGCATGGCGACGGCACTGCGCACGGCGGAGCCACGGTTCCCTTGCCCCGCGAACGCCCGGGCTGCCGCGCGGGGCTGCAGCCCGCCAGGCGGGTGTCGTGGCTCCTGCATAACGGCAAGGCCCCGCCGCAAGCCCGGCGGGGGGCCCCGTGCAGCCGAAGCGGAGCGGCCCAGCGGCCACGCCGACCGCCTGCTTCCCCAGAGCCCCTCGAGTCTTGAGAAAGTCATGACGGGAGGTTTTTCGCTATGTTGGGCCTCTGGCGGCCCTTACCGGGCCTCGGGACCGTCATCAAAGAACGACTCAGGATGAGAAACCGGTCCCGGGGAATGGATCGAGACCCCAGGGGGTCGACCTTGAGAGAAAGCCATGACGTCGGGGGTCTGGAGGTCCCGTGGCGAAAAAAAGGAACGCCACCGCGGGAGGTCTTCTGGGCACTCTTCGGCAACCGGGGGCCCCTTTCGCCGGGCCCCGGGGGGCCGTGACACCGCGGGATGCAAGACGGGTCCCGGGAAAAGGGTATTTCAAGCAGTGGCGAAGCGTCTTGGCTCGCCTATGGCCCTACCAAACAATGTTCTGAGAACCTTTTTGTGGTTTCCGCGAAAGAACATTTCTGGCGGAGTCTGTATTGTTTTATCACATCTGGTTTATGTTCTCAGAACAATGTTTTTGTTCTTAGCACATTTTTGCGTTCTAAAAACATTTCGTGGTAGGACTATAGGGATGCTGGGATGGTCGGTCCCCGCTCAAGTCTTGGACTCGGGCGGGGGGTCATCATGGGGGGGTGACCTAAGTGGGGGGGCGAAGCAAAGGGCCCCCTCAGGGCCCTGTTCTCCTCCCCCCCACTTGGGTCACCCCCCCATGTTCCCGGACATCCGCCAGTATGATTCTTCAATCCGCGGCCCCTCGAGGTCCCAGCCACTTCCCCGGGGGTGGTTTTTCGTCCCGGATCTATTTTTGATGGCCCCTGGGCCCGGTAACGGGCCCGGGAGGCCCAGATCCAAGAAAAACGCTGGATTTCAGACATCATGTCCGCGGAGACTGGGGTTACCACCCGCCCGACAGACCTCTGGCGCACGACGCCTCCTGCAAGAGTCGCAGCGCAGCAGATCTGGGGAGGTCCTCCGCGGCAGGGCGCGCCCCGCGTGCCACGGGCCTTCGCGAGGGGGCCCTCGCCGCCGTGGCCGTGCGCGGCGCGGGGGGTGGGGCAGGGTGGACCCGGGGAAGGGCCCCAGAGCCAATTCCCCAGACATCGGGCGCCTCGAAAAAATCGAGACGGAGGTTTTTCCAGATTTTCCGCCTCTCGAGGCACTCACTGGGCCTCGGGACCGCCAAAAAACGACTCGGGCATAGAAAACCGGTCCTGGGGAAGTGGTCGGGAGGTCGGGGGGCCGTGTCTCGAAAAGATCGAGACGTCAGGTCCAAGAGGGTTTTTCGGCCGCGAGCGAGGGGGGCAACCCCGAGATCCTGGCGTCTCAATGTTTTCGAACTGGGCGTTTGCGCCTTTTCTCTGGCCCCCGGGACCCTCACAGATCGATCCCGCTCAAAAAGTGACCCAGAAAGATGGGGTCTAGGGCTGATGTTTCACGATGTTGCAAATTTTGTCGCTACGTCGGATGATCTCAGGGAAGTGAGAAGGTGAAGGCCCTCTCAGAAGGCGGCGGGCTCCTCAGAAGCCCTCTGGCCTTCTGGAAGGCTTGCTGCGTCTTCGGGGAAGGCTTGGAGAACTTCTGGGAAGGCCGGGGGGGGGGCTTCCGAGCCTTCTGAGAAGGCCCGCCCCCTCTCACTTCCCCCACTGGCTGGCCGCCGAGTTATGGCAGAAAGATCACGGGCGTTTTTGTTGTTGCTTGCCAACGTCACGTTTTTTCCCCCTGAAAGGGCATGAGCCCAGGGTTCACGGGCCAGCGGATTTTTCTTTGATGAATAGCAGGTCGCGTAGGGGCAGCGAATGAAACAGTGAGGATGTCTCGAGCGGCACTCTGCTTTTTCAAAATCCGATCGATCAAACACGTTGTAAACTAAACATTTGCGTTGGCCGCGGATGTCTCGAGCGAAACGCTTGCGTTGCAGAGTTTACTAAGAACGTCTCGAGCAAGACGCTTGTTTTCACGTGCCCAGGTCGCCCAGGCGGATGTCTAACATGAGGATGTGGTGAGAATGCCTCGAGCGAGACGCGTGTTCTCACGTGCCCAGGTCGCCCAAGCGGATGTCTAACATGAGGATTTGTTGAGGATGGCCTGAGCGAGACGCGTGTTTTCACGTGTCCAGGTCGTCCAGGCGGATGTCTAGCATGAGGATGTCTTGAGGATATCTCGAACGAAACGCTTGTCGCAATGAAGCGCGTCGCAGCCCGATCCCGCCCGTCCGTGGGGCGTCCCCTGGCGCGCTGGCGCGTCTCCCTAGCGCGTCACTTGCGACGTTCTGGCGTGACGTGCCCTGGCACGTCCCCTGGCACGCCCCTCGGCGTGGCATATTCCCTGGCTCGTCAACTGTCGCGTTTCCTGGCTTGTCTTCGGGCGTGTCCCCGGTCCGTTCCGTGGCGCGCCCCTGGCTGCGTCCCCTGGCATGACGTCTTGTGGCCCGCCCCATGTCATACGCCCTGGCACGTCCTGTGGCAGGTCCCTGACACGTCCAGGGCGCGTCCCCTTTAACAAGTCCCCTGACACGTCCCCTGGTGCATCCCCTACTGTGCCCCTGGCACATTCTGTGGCGCATCCGTGAGCCTGTTCCCCGTGTCGTGTCGTTCCTTGTAGGAGCTGAGTCGGATTTTGAGCTCGAATTGTTTGAACGTCCAGCACGTCTCGATCTCAACCAGCTTTGGGCCAGCTACTATGTGCTGAGGCAGCTCGAGCTTAAGATCCAGATCAGTTCGATCAGGACTCGGATTCTCCAGAGGACTCGATCCACAGCACTGGAGAGCACAATAGCGGCATGGCACATCGCAATTCAGCATGGCAAAGCACAGCACAGCCCTTGGCACGGTACATCCAGATCGATACACTCAGCTCTGCGTTTGCCCGTCGCCCAAAAAGGTGTCTTGAAAGCATGTTGCCACGCATTACATTTCTATATCCCTTTCAGAGTTCGTGGGTCGATCATATTTTCCGGGTTCGTGGGCCGACCATGTTCCCGGAAAGGGCGCGGGCCCAGGGTTTTCTTTTAGACGGTTCCCCCCCGGTTGTGATTTGAAGAGTGCCCGCGGAATTATATTGCGTTTCCTAACGAGGTCGGAGAGGGCCCGCGGAATTATGTTTGAGGATGTCCCGAGCGAAACGCTTGTTTTGCAGAAAGTGTTGAGGATGTCTCCAGCCTCTCCAGCGAAACGTTTGTTTTGTGTTCTAGATTGTCTTCTCCTGGGGACCAGAAGTCAGAGGATCTCTTAAGTGAAATGCTTGTCTTCACGTGCCCAGGTCTTGATGATGTCTCGAGCGAGACGTTTGCTTTCACGTGTCCAGGTCGCCCAGGCGGATGTCTAGTATGAGGAGGTGTTGAGAACGTCTCGAGCGAAACGCTTGTTTTCCCGTGCCCAGGTCGCCCAGGCGGACGTCTAACATGAAGATGTGTTGAGGATGTCCCGAGCGAGCCACTTGTTTTCACGTGTCCAGTTCGCCCAGGCGGCATGAGGAATTGTTGAGGATGTGTTGAGCGAAACGCTTGTTTTCACGTGTCCAGGTTGCCCAGGCGGGTGTCTAGCATGGAGATGTGTTGAGGATGTCTCGGGCGAGACGCTTGCTTTCACGTGTCCAGGTCGCCCAGGCGGATGTCTAGTATGAGGAGGTGTTGAGAACGTCTCGAGCGAAACGCTTGTTTTCCCGTGCCCAGGTCGCCCAGGCGGACGTCTAACATGAAGATGTGTTGAGGATGTCCCGAGCGAGCCACTTGTTTTCACGTGTCCAGTTCGCCCAGGCGGCATGAGGAATTGTTGAGGATGTGTTGAGCGAAACGCTTGTTTTCACGTGTCCAGGTTGCCCAGGCGGGTGTCTAGCATGGAGATGTGTTGAGGATGTCTCGGGCGAGACGCTTGCTTTCACGTGTCCAGGTCGCCCAGGCGGATGTCTAGTATGAGGAGGTGTTGAGAACGTCTCGAGCGAAACGCTTGTTTTCCCGTGCCCAGGTCGCCCAGGCGGACGTCTAACATGAAGATGTGTTGAGGATGTCTCGAACGAGCCACTTGTTTTCACGTGCTCAGTTCGCCCAGGCGGATGTCTAGCATGAGGAATTGTTGAGGATGGGTTGAGCGAAGCGCTTGTTCTCATGTGTCCAGGTCGCCCAGGCGGATGTCTAGATTTGGGCAGGACGTCTCGAGCGAAACGCTTGTCTTCAGCACGTTCCGTAGGGCGTCCCTTTGGCACGTCCCGCGGTGCGCCCCCATGGCATGTCCACTGGCACGTCGCTTGGCGCGTCCCTTGGGACGTTCCGCGGCGCGTCATCCTGGCCCCCTTGTCAACTAGCTCTGGGGCAGCTAACATGTGCTCAGGCAGCTCGAGCTTAAGATCCACATCAGTTCGGTCAGGACTCGGATGCAAAGGATGACTCGACCCACAACGCTATAAAGCACAATCGCGGCAATGCAAATCGCAAGTCAGCACGGCGCAGCACAGCACAGCCCTCGGCACGGTACATCAAGATCGATACTTTCAGCTTTGCAATGTGGCACGTTCGTTGGCACGTTCCGTGGTGCGTCCCTTGGCGCGTCCCGTGGTTAATCCCCTTGGCACGTCGCGCGGCACGTCCCCTGGCACGTCCCGTGGTACGTCCATTGACACGTTCCGTAGCGCGTCCCCTTGGTACGTCCCGCGGTGCGTCCCCATGGCACGTCCCTTTCACGTCGCCTGGCGCGTCATTTGGGACGTTCTGTTGCGCGTCCTCCTGGCATGTCCCCTGTCAATTAGCTCTAGGACAGCTAATGTGTGCCCAGGCAACTCGAGCTTAAGATCCACATCACTTCGGTCAGGACTGGGATGCAAAGGAGGACTCGATCCACAACGCTATAAAGCACAATCGCGGCAATGCACATCGCAAGTCAGCACGGCGCAGCACACCACAGCCCTTGGCACGGTACGCCAAGATCGATACATTCAGCATTGCAATTGCCCGTCGCCGAAGCAGGTGTCTTGAACAAAAACATTTGC